GTGTGTGTGTGTGTGTGTGTGTGTGTGTGTGTATGTATATATATATATATATATATATATGTACACATATGTACACAATTGTTAAAGCATCATAATATACAAATCTTTCCTCCATTTAGTTGCAACTTATTCTAATAACACAATCTAATCAGTTTATATGCATACAAGGATAGTCCTTAAACATAATTCCAGATAAGGATTAGATGTGTTAAAAAAAGCTTACAGCATTATGATTTATTAAATTTAGAAACTAATGTTACATATATGCATGTCTAGTACATTTTGAAATTTTTTTTTAAGTTTCAGAATTAGATAAAAAATGTGATTAGATATAAAAACTGATTCAAATTTTGGCTTAAGAAGATTAATGATAAGTAATTCCTTAACCCTATGACAATGATGCCATTTTTAAACCCATCTCTGCGCATGTTACTGTGTTACATTTAAAATTTAATTAAAACACTTTCCTATAAATGTATTTTGATGAAATTATCATTAAAAAGTATGTTATAATTCAAACTTTTATATTATGAAAGTTTTTATTCCTTTATTTCAAAAGAAATTTCTAAAACAATAATTAAAACTTCAGCACATATCATGACCATGGTTAAAAATCTCAACTTTAAAGCTATATAACAGAAACCAGCGTGAGAATGCAGACTTGCCTTGGTTCAGATGGTCAAAGTACATTACATACAAGTTCTTGTAAATGTAATTTGAGACACTGCAAGCACTAAAGCTACTGAAAAATTCCAGATTCGAAGATAAGCCAGACCACTTTGAAAGTAGAAGCTGGGTTACTAAATGACAGTTTTAAGTTGAATGGCATGCTTATAACCATTATAAAGAGCATATTTCACTCTTGAAGGTCATTTTGGAGGTTCTAGAGATTATGCAAATTAAATGTGAAAACTCTAAGATAATAAATAGTATTTTTATACAGAAAATAAAAATCACCTTACATGTGAACTATTCAGAGTGTGAGTGCAAATAACTACAATAAATAATGAATTTTTTATTACAATAGTAAACAAAATAAAATATATGCTATTTTTTCTGGAACTACATACTTTTAGGACAGTTCATGTAAAATTTCAAACAATTTCATCCACTAGTTTCATTTCTTAAAGAACTTTCATGAGAGTTACGTAATCTACTTGGAAAACACACAAGTTGTCGTCATAGGGTTAACACTCCATATACGTGGGTTTGGTCCATTGAACCTAGCTCGTACTGGAGAACTGACAATTACTACAAGTTCAAATTTGACAGTTTCTTTAGTACATATGAAAATTATGCTGTACACAAAAAGTCAGATTTATTAATAAAGTATTTCTACTAAAGATCTGTCTGAGAATTTACCAAGTCATTCTGCATAAAAGGTGAATTCATTATTGAAATAAAAATACTCATTTTTAATTTAAAGTTTTCATATTTCACTTGCATAATCTCTAGAATCTCCTAACTGAATATTAAGTTTTTTATAACATTGTATATTTCACCTGTAGATTTCTCTACACGAACAGCGTACTTGATTCTAGGATCATTAGAAACATTTTCCAAGTACAATAAAGAGAGTGGTTAAAAACATTAAATAAATTGAGTAACACAGTTCTTTCCTTTTCAGTATTGACCATGAAGTTACAAGTTATTTATATTCACAATTTAAGCCTTTATTATTTTATTAAACGTTTTCCATTTTGTTTATATTTTGCCATATAGAGCAATAATCTCCCCAGACAATAAAACAATAAATTAGAGTGTGAGCCATTATGCTGTTTCTTGCAAACAGTAACATCTTGACTGAGAATCATGCAAACATGTGAGCTCTTCATTTTATCTCAATAAAGCAGTAAGTTTGGAGGAAAATTTATGTTACGGATTAGTAATATACGTAGTATAAATAATTTGTACCAAACTCAAAAGAATAACGGGTAGAGGGAAAATATCTATAATGTGCATCTACTAGGTTTTACTTTTATATTTTAGTTAAATATGTACTATTTGTGTTTTAAATTGTGCTTTAGGTACATTGTTAATTGCTCACGTAAATTTATCATTATAACTCGCATAAAAAAAACACTTTAAAATCACTTGTGCAACTTTACTTATTTAGAGCACGTGGTGAAAGGTATTTTAATATCACGGCTAATACACGGGGTCAGTCAAATTAACTGACCCACATGACCTATTGTACTTGTTTAAAGTCTTTATAAATTTAATACTTATAACACTCAATATATTGGGTATATCTTTACAAAATTTGGCAGTATTTCAGTTAATATTACAAGTCTTTCACATAGAAAAAGTCATATTTCTTAGTGAAGTATTTTTTAATAAAATAGAATAAAGATTTGTCCATGAATATAGAGTATTTGTTTTGAATACTCCATGTGCAAAGTAATTTTCATGTATAATTAAATTATATTGTTTTATTGCCCTTTGAACCGTGTCTAACTACTATCCATGCCATTATAAGTTGTTACGCTATTGAATTACACGAGCTGCTCATGTGCTGCCTCACGAA